TAGAAATAGAAGTTATCAATCCTCTGTTCCCAGGCCTAAATGGATGTCTAAGAAACAACTGCTTATTTGTATTGGAACTAGACTGATTAGAAATTCTTTGAGCTCACTGAAACATGAGCGAAAACGGACAAACACGTGCACGAGACTATGGTGCAATGCTAAATGGATCAGAATCTCGATTTGTAACAGAGGTGTTTTAAAAATCAACAAGAAAATTCAAACAGGGGTCACTCAATTTGAAAGGAGCAGGTCATTTAAAAATGCAAGCAGGTTGCATCATAAAGGAGGTTGACCAAAGATTACCCGTTGGGTTAGCAGCCAAAATTATTTCAGTATGAAGCGCCTGGAGTGATGTAAAATTTTACTAAACAGCTATTAGATTCAGAGTTGGCACAAATATTTTAACACAGGGAATGGCTTGTGCTAGGTCAATGTTTTATTCCTTATTAATGGGACAAATAAAAGGTGCACTGTTTTCCGCAGCCTGCAATCGAATTGTAAAATTTATAGCAAAACAACTCAAAAGCCACATTGTTAAACTTGAGGAACATGCATTACGTTTTTTATCAAAAACCCTTTCTTCAAAGTACATTTAGCAGATTTGGTTTGAGCCTTTGCGGTTATTTCTGACCAGACATAAAGTTTTGATCCATTCTACAAGCCTCGTAGTCATTACTAGTAGCACACGCAATAACAGCAAAATCAGCAAAGTTAATCTACTCCAAAGTGTAATCATGAAGCGTCTAGTGGAAATTGGTGCTTTCTAACACACACCCACCCGTCCACGTGGCTGCATAGGCACACAAAGGGAGAGCGCAATTCACCTTCACAAGGTGAAACACGTTTGACCTACTCAGTGGGAAAGGCGCACGACTCAGGCATAAGCTGAGGTGACATCCTCTGCATGCACGTGTGTGCAGCACTTCCTCTGTCTCCCTCACCTCGATTGAAAGTGGTCCAGGTGGGGTCTGCACTTTTTTGCTGCTCTAACGCTGGCCTCACTGCCACAGTGCATGCAACACTTCTTCGCCAAACAGGGAATGGAAGCAAGGCGAAAGCAATCTCTTCGTAAGTATTTTGTAATCTGTTTGCATTCGCTGCATGCATCACTCTCAATTAACTTGTCGCAATAAGCAATGATGTCGTAAACAACAAAAAGTTAGTAGCTCTTTCTTCTCATGAAGGCGACATGAGAGTCGGCAGTCAAAATTGTAGTAGTCAAAATAGACACTTCGCATGAGGTTTGGAAATGAGTTGCTGACTTCCAAGACCATCGTGAACCAAGAGTGAGTGAAGTTGATCCATAGGGTAGATGATGATGTAATTAATGTACAATCTTTGTTTGAGCTTCTGATGAGATTATTCAGAACGTTAGTCTTTCATCACTACTACTCTAACGTGAGCTCGCCCAATACCCATCTGTTAACTTTGGTTACACTGTTTCAAAGAACAATGATTTTAATTAACAACTAAGTTTTTTTTGCATTCTCCATTGTTAAAATATCCTATTACATTATTTTATCGGTTAAGTGTAACAATGGATTTGCAAGAAGCCTGTGCCTTTTGGTTCCACTACTTTTAATTATCCCAGACGTGCTCCAATAGCAGATAGCACGAATCATTTGGACTCTGAAATGAAAAAAAGGCTAATGACGTAATAGCTGTTATCATAACGTCGGCTTTGTTGGTCAGTCCCACCGTAGTCCACTGTTGACGCCCAAAGCGCGGCCAATCCTCCCTTACTGATAGCCAATCATTGAATACCTTTGGCTCAAGGTTACGGCGGGCTAACGAAAGGCAGTGCTCTTTGGTGAAGCAAATTTCAGATGTGTTACCGCTTTGTAGAGCATGTCCTGGGGCTCAGCTCGCACAGACTGCCCTCGAAGTAAATCATTCTCTTTTAACTATTATTTTTTCAATAAAGGTGTTTCGAAACCCGTTGCATACACGAAGAGCCTTGAAGCAGGAAAACTATCAGCCCGACCGTATTCTGCAGGAGGGAGAAGTCAGGACAGTGGTTTTGCTACCAATACTGGAACTGTAGGAAGCGATCAAGAAAGAAGTGATTTGAGTCCTCCCCTTCCCATCTATTCGTGGGAGACCACTGCCGAGGCAGTAACCGGAACCCCTAGAGCCGGCATGCCTCTCAGAAGCACCAGTAGATCTATGGAACGTCTGTCGAGAAGTGCGTTTGAGCTCGATATTCCCGATATGCGCACAACACGAGAAGAGAGGGAACGCAGTCGGCGTGAGATGCGTGAGCTAAACGAGAAACTGGCAGAACAGGTGGAGGGTGTGAGTTACTCATTCCTTCATTGTTTCGCTTTGCAGTTTCGAACTTATTATGGTGGTTGCTGCAACCTGTTTTAACAGGTGCTCTGACCAAAAGCAGCCATTATTAGTAAAGTGGCTTTGAGTACCAATATTATTCTGCCGAAATTTAGATATTGTCATGTTACAAAAAAGGCAATTGTACCTACTGGCAAGTGTAATATGTCGGCTTCACTTAAGTAGTTTTGTGGAGGTCAGTATGCCAGCGAAGGAAATCCTAGATGATTCCTGTTAGAAAACGATGAAAATATGGTTATCTGCCCTCCAAATTGTCGTTATTATTGGCACTACAAGCAAATGGCGGCAGGAACAAAACTATTCATTGGCTAATTCATATCTGATTGTCAGCATTTTAAGTTCTCAGTCGGTGTCGGATGTGACCTCATTAAGGCCACAATCAGCACCAAGTTGTGCCTCAACTTAAATTACTACCAAAAGTTGGCGCTGTTCCTGCGCATAGCTGGTAGCTGTCTAATAGTGCTCCGCAGGGATGTCAAACTTGGAGCTTTAATCAAAAGAATCGTAATGGAGAAATGTACACAAATGTTGCTTTGTTAGTGTTAATGTGGGCGACACAGGGAATGAAAGGTACCAGACTCTTGCCAATATAGTGTCGGTGATGAGATAAAGTCCCACATATTTTCTACAGATTTCCTGTGGAATCCAAGGTTTGAAGGTATTGCTAAATATTGCAGATCTTTACAGGGCGTTGCCTCCTAAGACTACCTTAGCGCCACGCCAACTAGAACAGCAGTCAAGACCTTCCTGCACCCAATGAATCATCACCTGAAGTCTTTGCAGAAGTGTTGTTATAGTTACTGTGTGTTATTGTGTTTTAAAAGCATTCCTCTGACAAAGAACCCCCTTGGCAAGCCTAAGTGAAAACACTCGAATCATGTATAACGTAATTGGACATTGCGCCCTCAACAGTCCCCTTTGACAGGGCTTTTGCACTATAACGCATAAAAGATTTGACCGAAATTTACAATCATATCCTTTCTCATAATGGTGTTACCGTGATGCTGACCAATTTTATTGCAAATCTATGACCTCGAGGACTTCTATAACTTCTACTTGTATTCCTACTAGTGGTGAAAATGAAATAATGAATATAAACTTGGTTCGTGCTACCAATCTAGTGAGTCTGAGATTTTTCAGTGACTTAAAGAGCACATCATGCGACCTCTCCTATGGTGGGATCCGATGGTTTCTAAGTTGATCGAACACTCCACAGATCATTGATAACTTGAAAGGGCATTATCTTTGATACAGACCTGCTACTACCTTTACTATAGTTAACCGAGTCAAGTTCTAACCCGATATATATCTTAAAACCTCAAAAACAATCATACCCCTTATACTGATTTTGATAGAACATTTTAATAAGTTTGGTTAGCTGAACAGATCGTTAAAGTTAAATAGCTTCTAATGTTAGTCTTCAAGTATTTCTCAGCTGTGGTCACAATTCGTGGGTTAAAATAAGCACGCAAACCTTCAGCTAATACATTCTTGATAGGCGAGACATTGCATGTCACATCTATCGTGATCAACAATGAAAAATGAAATTAGTTGCTATAACGCTTTAACTCTAAACAAGGATCCTTCTGTACTCAGTTAGGGACGCATCAAGTTTTTCCCAGCTTTCAACAGCCAGCCAGCCAGCCTTTCTAAAGAACTTTTGACAAATTTATGCAATGAAGGTCCGGAGGAAGGCATTAAGCAGTCTTTAGATTTTGCCGCTGCAAGCTTAATGCAGACAGCAACAATTAATCTGCTATAAAGGAGGTGTTAAACGTGAGTCTTTTATCTTTGTCTAAGCTAAGGTTCCGTCGTTAGTGGCTTGAGTAATGAAAAGAAACTCACGAGTTTTTGTAATTCGGACGATGGATATGTAGGTTAAGCTCATAACCAGGCGCAAAATTTCACACCAAGCCAAGATTTGTACATGACTTTAATAAACGCCTCACCCATTGTCAAAGTCTATCAGATTACATTTGGGGATATAAAACTGAAACAAGTTATTGGATCTGTTAGTCTCATTCCTTATGTGAGTCACTTCATAATTATGTTTGAATGCTATGAGTTTTGTGCTCCTAGGTGCCTAATCATGACGCCATTTGCTCGTATCGCAAAGCATTATTGGGAAAAACATAAATCCTGGGAATCTGCACCCAACTTGGACAAGTTTTTAATGCGGGTGCTGTTGTTTTTTTGCCCTTACGACAAAACAACATACAGCGCTTCATTTTGAGGAGTGTGTTAGAGCAAAACTAGTGGTCGATCCTAAGTTGAATTAACTTCAAATTTATACAGTCCACCGATGCCATCAGCTGGTACATGATATCAGCAGTTAGAATAATAATTCAGATCTAAACAGCTACCTTTCTTGAACTATGGCGATTTGGCCCAGATATTAGGCAGATAACTGTCACTCATCAATGATATAGTGGATACAACAACTTATGAAAAGTGTGGCTATAGCAACTAAGTTTTCTCATAACTTTTATCCTTGCTCAGATGCGTTATTTGTCCGCTCGCAATCGACAACTTACTGACGAAATTGCCAGTCTGAAATCCCGTTGGTTGACCGAATCAAAGAAAACAAAAGAAATTTACGAGGGAGAATTGCGACAACTACGACAACTTCTTGACGATACTGACAGGGAGAAGGCCGAGAGCCTTGCGAAGATGTTGTCGTTGCAGCAATTTAGCAGGAACCAGGAAGCGCAGTATGCCTTTTGCTTAGACGAAAACTAACAAGTTACTGAGCTTATTTAGTAGCGTATTTAATTTCTTTGCCTTAGGATGGTCAGTCTGACTCAAGAAAATGACAAGGTGAAAAGGCGGTTGGAACAGGCCTTTGACGACATGAACAAGCGAGATAATGACTTTAATACCCTACAACGCCGGTTCAATGACCTTGAAAGTGAACTCGAAAAGGAGAAAATAAATTCAGAGAAGTTGAGACGTGATAATGAAACTATTTGTCAGGCATGTCTCCCTGTTCTGTTCTTTACACGATCAACCTAGTAGCATCGATACACATTATAGCATACTTTTTAAGGATCCAATCATCAAAACTTGGGTAATTGTAATTAGCGTTTAAATTAATTGCACAAATCTCCTCCCCTTGCTTACGCCAAGGGAACGATACAATCAAAAATTTAACTTATTTCGTCTACTTTATTTACAGAAAAGTATGACCATCAAAGAAGCACTCCTAGCAAAAGATAAATAGTTTAGAATTGGTCTCTAGCATGGCAGTGCAAGCCATTGTTTGTTACAATAAAATGGGAGATTTAGGATGGTTGGTCCATATTAACTGAGTTGTTTTCCCTCAGAACAATCGCTGGTTTTAGATTCATCTCTCTGTATTTTTCTTATTGACAAACAAAGTTTCAGCTAAACTAAGGGTTTGCGATTGCTTGAAATCTAAGTTTGCTGAAGAGTACTAAGAGAAGCCCTAAGATCATTCTTGGGCTCATCCATTTTGTAGCGCAACCGTAACGGTAGAAGTTAGCTACAAAAAACCCTGAATACCTGCTCTATAATTGCTGCTGTGGATTAAATTACAATCTAGGGTTCACCTAAGCACATTTTTTATATTGACGTGCACACATAAACTGTACTAAATCAATGTGACAACTTCGGTATCGGAACCCAACTGCTGTGGAACAGCATCGGTTATCTGAAAGCACCACCTGGACAAGGAGTGGGAACGGTTCGTCCGGAATCCGGTCATACTGCCACGATGGTGCATGCAAAATTGGTATGGGAAATAAGTTAACTAAATCCTCTGTTAGATAGGTAGTCTGCTATGTAGTAGTCTGAGGCTCTATCCTGCATGCGAAATTAACTTCGGATCATATGCACCGCAGTTAGTGAAGCATGATTGTAGCGACTTCCTTTGGTTCGCTTATTTGTTCAAATGAAAAATTCCAATTGCAAGAAGTACTTAAGTCACACAATGTAGATTATTGAGACTTGTGAATCGTTTGATTGGATAAAAAGCAGACTAACTTTTAATCTATGTGAAGGATGATAGACGAGTGGACTGTCGAGAATACTTTTGGTTCTTTTAATGTATGTTCTTTGTTCTCTGCAACTACATTTTCTAAATCGTAAATTATATAATTCCCTTGTTAGATGTAAGCTATCCCGTGCATATTCTTAGCTCTATGTTATGGTCGCGCAAATATATATCTGTTGCCTTTCCGAATGCCTTATTTGCGCTCCCGAATTTCCTAATTTGAAGCATTTAGGAAAATAATATGGTACGAATTCTGCATAAATTGAGCTTACCTCAAGTCTTTTCACATCTTATGAAGTAGCGGTAACCATAGATCTCTCAAAAACTTGGGCTCACCACTTCATAAAGCGATTTTATTAGTGGCAATTACTTATTTAAATGGCCCGAATACTAAACGTACTGCTATGGCTAAAACAATAGAAGTAGCTACAACTTCGCAAAAGCAATATTGTGGTCAAAGTGAACAACTGCACGCGTTCATAAAACTGTAACGTGTTCACAATGAGTGAGATATGCTCCCCTCAGCTGCACTTGACAGATATTGACAGTGAACTAGGTCCAAATCCCACCAGACATTTGGTTTTGAATGCGTGGATAAATAGGAGTACTCCGCATTAAAAATGAGCTGTCGCAAGTCTATGCTGACATCGAATGGTGTTCCTGTGGAACGAATGCGCGTGCATCAGCACTTCTTTTGTGTGTCGCATGACTTCGGACTTCTCTGATCACTTATGACAGTTGCATCAAATGAGACCGCAAAGGTTTTGAAACGAGGTAAAACGCGTTGGATAAGATGTACTTCTCAAACTTGAAACTCCTAAGGAAGCAAGCACACGTGTTGTGATTAGATGAGCTACACGATTTGGATATTGTGTCTGAAATGCTTCAATTTATTTGTCAATTTTAAAGTTGATTAATACTATTTTATGAATGAGGTCTGAAATGTTGCGAAGCAAATTTTCCTTCAAACTTTCCCTACTTAAAAAATACTCTATTTGACTTAGCATTTAGATGAGGAGACAGCAAACCGCATATCGGGTCAGTCGGAGATGCAAACACTGCGAGAAGAAATTGATTTTATGCGTCGGGCCCATCAGGAGGAGATAAGGGAGATGCATCTAACGTTGGATGAAGTTGGACGCGGATTTGATCGCGAACTGTGGCAAACGGAACTTAGTCAAGCAGTGCGTGACATTCAAGATCGTTATGATGACCAGCTAGAAAAGCTTAAAGTCGATATGGAAGAAATGTACAACGCAAGGGTAATTTTATTTCCCACATCCCGTTTGTTTATGTTATTGTTGTACTATGTGAAACGGTCACGCAGCGTACGGTTGATGGCTAATGAAATATTCATTCGAATGCAAACGATGCTGCTCCGTGCATTGTACATCATCCTTAAACACCATCATAAGGAGACGCTTAACAAGCACCACATTCAAGTCTCTAATGCCTCTCACCATCAAGAAGTCGACTGATTTTCGCAATCATGGATCCGATTTGCGCGCACCTGGTATTACGGCACTTTTAAAAGACGTATTCTCAAATCAGTCAAGTATCCATGACTTCAATGAAGTATTTAAAGACGTAAAATTATTTTCACTGCCTGTCTATACAACGCAAGAATATCCGCAGTTGTCGACACAAATGGAAGGTATAAATTGCTATATACCCAAAAATGGACAGTTCAGTCCACCATAAAAACTCCCCATTTTTGCAATGCTACTCACCGATTCGGGATATTTTCAGTCCCTGCACGAAAATTTTATTATATGCTTGTCATTCATCGAGACAGCTAGGTAGAATAAGCAGTCGAGGGAGATGTTTTGTCAGCCGTCCATCATACCTCCAAGTAGAAATAGGATGTGTCGTAATATCTTAGGTTAATTTTCAGAATATGCTCCCAATGTAATCCAATGTTTCACAAAATGGTGAAAAGGGTGAAGGATTGGAAACTGTTGACTCACCTTGACGAATATTGTAGCAACAGTGCAAAAGAGTCGCTTTCATTATGTATAAACCTTCGACGGTGCTTAAGGTAGGCGTTTGGGACACTAATTTGTCGCATTCCAGAGACAAAAATCATTATTTTATCAAACATTAAAAAACGGAAGGAAATCAAAGTATTTAGACTCAGTCAAAAGTCAAGCAAAAGGAAACAAGTGGGGTTATGCCCGTGCCGTTTAACAAGGTAGCGTCTCTGCCTTCGTTAGCCTGCTGGTCAAGTGGTTGACCTTATCAACTGCTTTAGGACTATCGCCCATAGTGTAGGAAACATGCTCACTAACCCATAAGATTTATGCAACTTTACTCCCTTTCCATTCACATGAATGAAAGTATATGGAAACATCGAAATGTCGCCAATCAAAAGATTTGGAAATGATCTGATAACCAGAGTGGCACCTAAAGCAAAGTAATCGCGATTTTGCATAATTTTGCCCACAAGAAGCGTCTAAGTGATTTATTGCAGCTATGGTGCTATCATGAACCTTAAATTAACAACAAAAACGACGAAAGCAGCGTTTTTTTGTTTTGTACCTTCCTTAAACACAGTGCTTGATAGATGAAACCCGACATGATTAATTTATGTTTAAGGAGTTGCTAGCTTTTCTTCCATTCCAGTTGGTAGGATTTAAAGCTTTATTCGACTGTAATTAATGATGCGCTTTCACGATGTACGAAGTGGCTAAAGGGAACTCCGGCATCGGTTTGTTAAGCCAAAGTAAGACTAAGAAGAACAATGCATTTTATCATGAAAGAGCCGGTTTTAACTAGATAAGCTGAGACACGCAAACTGCCAGTTAATAATTGGTTGCATTTTTAGAAGAATTACTTGATGGATGTGGCAAAAAACCTAAAACATATATTTCTTAGTCGTATTGGTGAAGCGAAGCGAGAATTCAATAAATGTCAAACCACGTCTGAACAACTGTGAATGCTCTTTGAAAGCAAAAAAATCTTCACTCACTTTCAATTAATAAGACAAAAGACAGTTAATTTTTGGAGCAGCTCTGTAGCAATAGGCAAATATATGGCACAACTTTATGTAACGTTTTGCGAAATTGAATGAGTCTTTTCCACGCCATAAACTTCAAGCATGGGGCAGATCACACAAGTTCAAATTTAAATGTTACGGACCACGACCTTAATGATGCAAATCTGTGTTTAGGGATAGAAAATGTACATTAAAATATAGATTAGTAGTATTTAGTGTGCTTGTGCGTTGCCCTTGTCTTAAGGGTAAACCACTTTTAAGGACATTCTCATCCCAAATAAAACTTCTGACCTTCATAACATTGGTCTTTTATGCCCTTACTTGGCCCTTCTTCCGATCCCTTGCCATGAATCCTCATGAAACTCCATCGTGCAACCACCTTATGGGTCAAACATATAAACTTTCGAACCCATGGGAAATTTTTAGCACTAGTAGTGCAGTTTTGCTTCCCTCGTCCGTTTTTTAAAACCGCTTTGAGCTTATGCGCTGAGTTTTACCGCATTTATCCAATGAAAGGTGTAACAAGCGATAAGGCATACACTTACATATGCACTCTACATCCTACAACAGCATTGGAAGGATTATCCTTTTAAATAAACTCACTGAAGTGAGCTCGCATTATTTCCAGCGATGCCACTTCTGCAAAAATGATTATTTTGTTTTTGCTTAAACAATACCTTATACAAATGCCCGATTTTGTTGCCACACTCACAGCTCTCAGTTCTTGTAAAGTGATCAACCATGTAGTGTCTAGGCATTACGAATTTTTCAGCTTCGCGAACTGGGGAAGGTAGATCCAGAACAGAAGGCCGAGCTCAACGCGCTTAAATCAGAGAACTCTCGACTTAAACAGAACTCAGACGAAATGCGGGAGCAGATGGCACAACTTCAATCCAAGGTAACTTCGTAGATTGAAATTCATCCCAAATGCATGTGGGGTGGAGTCACATCACCCTTTAGTCCACCTTGTATTTCTTCCTCATTGACTAATAGAATGGACCAAAATATCAAAAGAACGCACATTCTAATGGGATAAGGGGAATAATTCGATCAAGTTTGAACTGGTGCATTTTCCGTTGTAGTGTGATACCACTTTTACATTAAAATCAGAGTGAAAACGCAAAATCTTTCTTTAAGTACCGATTTAGTTTGGATGACTTAGGTTTTCCGGTATGTTTTATTGCCATGTGCCTACTTATATTTTATGAAATAAAAAGCCAAGATGTTATATTTTTGGAAATTCAGGATGCCAGAAAAGGTTGAAGAAGGCCATTAAATTTTACTAATAGAGCGTCAACAAAAACGTCTCGTCGTTAGTACATGCAAAGCATCACCAAGTTTGTTAAGATTATCATTCTCACTAATGTAGCGGCCTATAAATCCTCCTCTCCATAGACCCCAATTTCCATTTGTTGCAATTATGAATTACAATAAATTTACATTGATGAAAAAGCTAGGCCGAATGAACATCTGATATCGATGGCCGTTTTGATACACGTTAGGCGCAATTTGTTTTCCATCGTTCAATGCCTGTACAAATGCAAATGTCACACAATAGAGAGGTGGCTATTAAAAGTTAGGCTTTGATTCCTGTTTTACTCTACCACTGTCTCTGTTGCAGAGTTAATCTCCTCCTACGATTAAGCATCGCTCTTTGAAGAAAACATGTACGTTATGTGTCAGCATTGCAATAGTCCATTTGTATGGTTGCTCAGCAGCGATTAGTCTCCAAACTGCAATACCTAAGTCAAGAGATTGAAGATGGTCTCACATCAACCCTTCTGATTTGAAGAGGTAAAAGTACATACCATTCACTTTAATTTAGTTTGAAGTCTTAACAAGTGGATGCTAAGACTTGTTTCTAGTTTTGCTCTAGAGCGGTTAATTCCTTTATTGCAATTTTTCCCAAAACATTCATAGGGAAGACAAACAGCGATAATTACTGTCAAAATGTCAGTCTACTTTACATGCATCGCCCTAATAATTCGGACTTTCAACTATGATTGATAGGTAACACTCCTGTGTTCAAAGTCAATAAGCACATCCAAATTCTGCAATCATGGGGAGATGCAACGCCGTCCTAGTGAAGCAAGAGAGCTTTATTGGCTGCGACTACTTGATGGATTTATCATTTGAAATGAACATAAAATGATGACAATAGTGTTTTTACCTATTCGACTAAACCAACAAATTTCCATTAAAAGCGATGCTCAAAAACTGCTGCATTTTGCTAGGAGACTGAACTTCAAAGTAGGCAGCAAGGTAATTATGAAGCCCAACTACCAAATTGTCTCCAACTCAAGAATATATAATGTCAATACCTAAAGAAAATCAAATAGAAAGCAATCTCGTTCAAAAATTCAAATTAATATTGGAATGACTCTGGAAATTAATAAGCACAGGGAAAATCAGCTCAGTATACTTGCAGACGAGATTAAATATGGCTCTACTCTTTAAAAAAAGTTGCCCATGGCGGCTTAGAAGGCGCAGTCGAAAAGGAAAGCCTGAGGTTATTTAATACTCAAAACGAGGATAGCATATGCCAAAGCGCATCGTCATTATGTAACTTCCCTGGGCTTTCTATTAGAGAGTAGGAGGCATGAGGTTGGGCTGAACACTTGAATCCAGAGGAAAGGGTAAGAGGTTGGGAATCGGCTTGGTTCGCGAGCCAGCCCGTGCGGCTTAGGGTGGGATTAATGCCAAAGTGACCACTAGTTATACAGGTAGTCGAAGAGGCAGGGTGTAACCGTAACATGTTCACTTTTCATTCCTTTTATAAGTCTCAGTCCTTCATTGAAAGGTCATTCTCATCAATGCAGTCGTAACGTTTGACTTTCTGGAAATTCTATCACTCCCTGCTCCAAAGTAATTGTGCGTAAGATTGCCATCATGCTGCTTCTAATCTACTATTTTAAACGTGTTTTGGATGAAATGCTAACTATACACAGCTTTTCACTTTCTTAATGAAAATGAGGTCGAATACCGAATTCATACTTAGTCTAGCATTGTTTGCACAAGGAGCCTTTGAGCAGATGGGTAGCCTTTCATAGTCTCGTAAATAAACCGGTAAACATTGTAAAGAAAAGGCCTCATGTTTTCCATGTTTAAGTAGTCTTACACAATCGAAGCCATAATTTTCGAGTTAATCCATGCACTGGACCAAAATATTTTGACTGGCAAGCCTAGGTTTTAAACCATTGGGTTTGGTTTTCCTCAAGACATAAACCAAGCTTCTTTAATGAAGGCATTTTGCTGTCACAAACTTAAAAATTCTTGGCTTTATTGTTTTCTCATGGTCTTCGTTTGCATGCGAAGTTGCACAACTTGAAGGTCGCGGTACATCTCCCTTGAACCCCTTTTGCATCAAAATAAAAGCCTATATTTAGTGGGACTACCGCTTGAATCGGGTTCGCAGAGCTAATGGGGTATAAGGTGTTGCCTCGTCAAAGTGCTTTCAAAATAATGCCTCACGTTGATGAGCACAAATTTAGTAGCGAACGCTGTTGGTGCTTTGGGTAGTGCTTCTGTTGGCGACACAAATTTTAAACAGCATTACTCCGATTAAATTTAAATTTCCATCAGTATTCAATCAAAATATCTGCTATGACAGCAAATTAAGCCAATATATGGCAATAAATCAACTTTAAGGGACACGTTTGATTGACACATATCCAGCATCCTAGAAACTGCAAAACAAATTCCCATTATGACTCTGTTATATACGAATTCCAACTTAAGAAAAATGACAAATCTCTACCTTTGTAAGTGATGGCCAGTACTTAAAGGTGACAAAAATAGATGTCCGTAATAAAAAAAGCCGCATAAATGTAAAAAACGTTCCCACAATGTGTTTACATTCTTTGCGCTAGTACCTACAAAAACTTTGTTCACTTCTGTACGAAAGATATCCATGAAGAATAATTACCGCATTTTTAATTATTCTGAAAACCCCAAAAGGATATTTTACTACCTGAAAATACTATTAAACAGGTAATGCAATGAAAGTTGTAAAGGAAAGGCTTAGCCTCATGCTTTCTTACGATCCTGTATCATGTTCCCACTCATATATGGAAGATGCAGTAGACTATTGCAGTGGCAGTTATGAAATACAAGATCGGGTTTTTATGCGTTAGCGTGGCTTCATGGTCCATTCAGAATGCCTATTTGGAGAAGACAATGCGTGACATGTCAGCCGAAGCGGAAGAGTTGCGCCGGCGCATAGGGGCCGAATTGTCCGAATCTGCGAAGGAGAGAGAGGCGGCGGAAGAGGCTTTGGCGAAAGCACACAGCGAAATGGCAGCTCTCATGGACGTGAAGTTGAACTTGGAAGGGGAGATTGCAGCTTATCGACGCCTGCTTGATGCTCAGAGAGGAATTCTCAGTGGCGATGGTGGTGTTGGCGAGAGCGCTTGTGGCTCAATCCATAAAACCCGGTCATCACACGAGATCTTGTCCAAACCACGACCATCCAGCATGAGCCCTCTTAGACGAGGAGCTCCCCCCGTGTCCAACTCGGAACTGTAAGTGTCCCTTATAATATGTGCTAAATTTTTAATAGATGAAGTTTAAAATTTTATATTCTTTATCGGTTCACCTAATTGTTGAGAGTTGTATAGATTTTGGAAAACTAAAGCAGTTGCCCCGTAAAATATGAAAGGGGTTTGCGAATGAACTCTTTTGTTAATCCATTGATTTCTGTCTTTCCATTGTGTTCATGCGAGTCGAGTTGGATTTGAGATCATCTAAGGTTTGGTAACATTTAAAACGTGTTTCTAAGGGAACGCAAAGCAACATTTTAAGGTATTACATGTGTTTGCAAAGGTCTCAGCCAGAGCTACGGAGGTCTAGAGCGTCCATTTCAAGTAGTCGGGATTATTCTGCAAGGAAGCAACAAGACCGAGACTCTAAGTCAGGCATAGCTGGTGTGATGCCGAAGTAAGCACGTTTGCAAGTGCTGTGTTCAATTCCTTAACATTCCGTCTCCGACTCTAACAGCTTTCTAACATTTTTAATGGGATGCTTTTGATGCACAAGTGAGTCAGTGAGAATTCGAATGACATTGTTGAGTAAACGTGTTAAGCTCGAGAGAGGTCCTCCTGAGCTACAACGCGAAGTTTTGTTCTTCTGTCCTTGTATGAAACTAAGTCAATCACCAAAATGGGAAAAGCATATCGGGGCATCAGGTAAAATGTAGTTGGCAAGAGAATTTGTTGAGTCGTATAATAGAGTGACAAAAATTACACCACAAGAAGCTAGAATTCATCAACTAGCTCAAAGTGCTGCGATCACATTTAAGTTCACTCTAAAAATGGCTGAGAGGTTGATGGTTTGATTGTAGTTATGTCAATAAAGGTAGATAGCAGACATTCAAATTTGATTCTCGCTTGCCACATATTGCTATATAAAGTTTGCTCAGGAGGAACTTCCTTGAAATTTTTAACATGGTTTGGCTCTCGGTTTGTGATTAGTTCAAGGCAGCTATCTCTTTTAAAGACCCATACCCAGATTATGAATTTTGGCAAAAGTTTAAGGTGACGGTGTATGCTAAGCATGTCTGAAATGTGCTATTGGGTTGTGTGGATGTGCAATCATTTTGCCGCACTTGTCGTCCCGATTCACAAATGATACAAGGTGTGCACGGTGAACATCTTGAGTTTCCCATCACGATAGTTAGACGTCTAGAGTTTTATGGGTCAAAATCCCCAAAGTCAGATGCAGTATCAGAAAGCAAATAAGCATTCAAAAGTATGTCATCTTGCCAATTAGGAAAGGTGCAAGCTACATTTTTACTCAACAACTCCGAGTAGCAGGAGGCGATGCTTTATCCTCAAAATTGTGATAAAGCTCTGTACCTCATTATTACAAAGTTAACCAAGTAGTTGTCCATAGGAAAAGCGTTACAATAATTTTTTTGAACATATTCTAATTTTTACGAATTGCAATGTTTTGCGAAGTGGAATATTCTATTATATGGACTTCTAACTCCTTGATAAAGTCGAAGCAATTAAGGCATCAGAAGCAACATCGACTTCGGATTTTCAACTCCAAGATTTCATTTAAGATTAACCGACTTCGTATTAATGGTTGGTTGAATGGATGAAGTAATTCACTTACGATGAAGGTCATGAAATGTCTTAAGAAAATTTGCTTAGCCACTTGTAAATAATGTGCATGATTGCACGGAAAGTAGATTTCGCCTATGAAACATTCAAATTTGTCCAATGCCTGTGTAACGTAACTACTCAAAGAAGTTAGTGATTAGCATTACTGTTTTCTAGGGCCCGCAGATATCACGAGAGAAGTGATCCATCAGGCTCATCAGTTCGATCAAAAGCAGTGGAATTCGATGGCGAAAGTACGTAAATTATCAACTGAAGCCAATATTAAAGAACTTCATTTTATACAGAAAGGAAGAGTTAATGAGATTTATTGTTTGACCGTCATTCTTTTGGACCATTTTTAAATACTCTGCACAATGTGGAATTGTTGTCGCTACAGACATTACTTCAACCATCTCTACCAGAAATTCAGTCGAACAAGTCAATAATAAACGAGACTACTTAAACAAAATCTGTTGCTATCGAGAGACATGCAACCGATATCTGATAGCTCCTCTATAGAACGAGCATTCTCATTTGTAGGCGAGCAGCAACTATCATGCAGCTACAAACCAGGTAAGAACAACCACAACCAACAGGTAAAACACGTAATCAAGCACTTATTTTTGATCTGAAAAGGCAGTCTTCTTAGCCTATCAAAGTCCAAACAAAGATTATCTTACCTCGAGCAGTTAAGCCTCATGGGCTGGCTAAAATCATCAATAAGTATTTACCATACAGTAAACTTCATCAACCCTAAAGCCACATAAGAATATCTCTGGCAACTCAACTAAATGGGTAGTGTAAGCCTCGTATTGCTTGTCTGTAGCGACTTTATAGCTAAAGAGAATAAGTTATTTAAGAAAATCGTTGGTGGAAATTTACCCTTCTTGGTTTTTAGTCCCGTGCTGGTTCTGTATTTCGATGGGCAATTGACTAGTGTGGCTATTCACAGCTAGGGACGATTTGATGCTTTCTGCAGATGACCTTATGTGACACCATGAACACTAAAAACGATGAAAAAAGGGTTTCAGTGGCAAAGTTGCATGAATGGAAAATTATCTGTCCGTACCATTAACGCACTGATACTTACGTCATACAGGCGAAACTCAACTTTTCCTCATATGATAAAATATTCAGCAAGCCGCAGTACCCTTAGACGTTCCTGAAGGTTAAAGAAGATGTGATGCTTGGACAAAATACATGCGTTTAGCAGAGAAGGAACTTAAGTCGCTGGCATAAACGAGAAATCAGACCATCCGCATAGGGCAAGGTGACTACCCAAGCATTTGTTTAGGATTTCGAGAGTCAAATGAACAACAAATGGATCACATCAGCACGTACCCGTTCAAAAGTAGATTCTCCTAGCGTGTAACACTAAAATCTTTAAAAATTGTTTGCGCTAATTTAGTTAAATCGACTCATGAGGTTGTATGATTCAACGAAATTGCATTTAATAATTAACTTCTGACTTCTAAATTAGGTCGCGTGCAAATGACTCCATTGCTATCAATCATGAGCACTTTTCTGTTGCCTCATAGAGCGAACAGATCAAAGAGGATTGAGAGGGGAACTGACTGCACGCACTCAATTTGATAAATCTTACAGAGGTGCAATCTCAATCGACGAGTGCTCTCCCGACGGCCGATATATTGTCATAACAAACAATGGAACCACGGTGTGTTGATCGGGATTATTCCTGCCTTAATGCGTGCACTCCAGTAAACGTTAGCGAACCGAGGTTACGTGGAAGAAGCATAAGTCCGAGTTCAATTAAACTAAACTGAGGCTCGAAAAGTTAGATGTTGCTGCTAGAAGATATGGTGTCAAAGATGATCGTGAAGCACAAATCGGAATAATTGCAAAGAGAGGCTTTTGACGGTGTTTCATCTTCATTTCAGAATGATGCTTCAGTTTGCAGTTTATTCTCATAGTAGTCTTTGTCTTATAATTTAATGAAATGCCAAAATACCAACCTTCTTTAGGGTGCAGTGAAAATTTAAACTTGTATCAATATTTTCGTACTTTGGACTAAAATTTCAAGCCCACATTTCGTGCAAAGCTGCATATAATTACGTACTGCTTCAACTTAGACGAAGAATAGCAAAGGACTGAAAATCGCAAAAAGGAAGGATAATATTTTAAGTATTTTTATGGCTGAAATTCTCCTTTACTTTTTTAGAGAGGCAACATTGACGGTATATGAGATCCCAAGATAGGCAAAAATCAAACCGAAGCCTTAGCATTGATATCTGATCCGGAATTTCTCCTAAAAGCTTTTGCATTGTCACACTTTTTCCCTTTTCTAGGCAGAGAATCTAAACGGGTGGCGGATTGTCCGAAACATCGAACATGGCAAGCAAATAATCCGTTTCACTTTTGGGGATACACTAATGTTACCAAAAAGCAGTAGAAAAGTGAGCGTTACACTGAAAACTATTCCATTCCCTTTAAAAGAAAAAAGATGCCATCATTATCACCCAGGACTGTGCTGAAAATGCAGTCTTAGATACACAAGAAGCTTTATTCCTCAATTACATGCATTCGCAAAGGATTTATGAAAATAAAAATTCATTTTGTTCATGCTTAAAGAGCGATCACTTGAAATCAAGTGTTATTCAGGGGTACATGCATAGGGTATAGACTAGGCACCTGGGAGGTCGGACTAGTGTTAGCTACACTTTGTTGTTGCTGCATTTACTCATAGGTTCCTAATCACAATGGTAACGCTAAAATATGATAGCTGAAAGCAAACCCATTCTCATCACTGCATTTTCTTGGCTAAATACTGGCTCACATTTATCCCAATATATGGTTTATACTTGCAGTGTGGGAGAAAGAATTGATGGCTCGTTTTTATCTCGCATAAAAAATGACTTGCATTCTCTCTTATCTAATTGGTTTTCGTTTCTTTTTTGGAATTAAAACTCTAAATTTAAGTTTTCCAAGTTACAACTATTTCTGTGGCCATCGTAAGTAAGCATTTTCGGCGATTGAAAATGTCGAACATCGTAACCAGCTTTTTTATGTAAACGACAGTAATTCGGTTTTTATTTACCATTTAGAGTCTTCTGTACCAAAAGTCCCATAGATTTCTCCCTCCTCTTGGCAGTTGACCCGCTTATTCAAACATGTTTTGTCCTGTTAAATAAAGCTAGTCAGTCACTTAGACGCGACCCCTTATAAAACCATAGCAAACATCCTGTTCCAGCATAATCGTTATTTTCTTCCTCTGTCACACTGCATAAGACATGCACTACATCAAAATTGGTAATTTTGATGATTGAGATAACCCAACAAGGTGATTTAGTGAGTCTACTCACCCAACCATAAAATAAATGAGTCCGGTTAAAAACTTATTTGTTCCTAATTGATTTACGTAGTCGCGAAAAATCGCAAATCTCGTGGTTGCATAAAACCTGGAGAGGTGCTTAATTTGAAAACTTGCTGGTTTTATAGAGCTACTTGAATTCCGTTCTTATTTCATTTTGTTCTTACAGACGGAACGACTTCTGGCACATCATTTTCCCTTCGTTCCCCCATAATGCGACATGATTGAGTTGAACGGAGTAAATCCAGTCAGGATTTGCTAGGTTAGCTTTTACGCATACATTTGCTGTAGTGGCGTGGGTATGGCAGGAAAAGAACCAATAGCAGATTTTGCGCTCACACGAAATTCTCTTAAAGAAATTTGGCAAAAAGGATACCACCTTGCCATTGGCGGTATGCATGTTTTTTGCGGTCCTTTCCTGTCTAAAATTTTGCGGACATAAGTTCTTCATGAGACTCTAGACTGCGGTGTTTCTTAACAAAAATGAACCCTCCAATTTTCGTTCAATACATTTTGCATGTTACGTCCGCGATACATTTTTCCTTTAATACACTTTTGAAAACACAATGTTTCATAATTTCATCGGTCTGTAGATTTGGGCCAGAGGTCAACGTGGTCTGGATGCGGGACCGAAGGACTTGGAATCACCGTACTCAACCTGGGGTGTTGGTGGTTACATTTATACAACATTATTCACGATGGATGGTGAGGTAAATCCTTCCTACCAAAGAAATTGCTTTAGAATGACAGATTAAAATTTAAAGACTAGAGGAACCCCGAATTTTAATAATTCTGAGATTAAAATTATGTGCCGCACAGGTATAAGACATTCTTGGCCCCACTTGATGACCCAGGGCATTCAGCATTCCAGCTGTGCCGATTGCAATTGGAAATCTCACTTTGGCTCCATCTTCTGCTTGATGCCATGTTTTACCTTTCGTCCTTTTTAGGAGCGAGCCACACATGCCCAACGCGCCGAATTTAACTTGGGCTGATTCGCCAAAAGACCTCGTCTATCTCTTCAAGAAAGTATTACCAGCTGCCTTCTACTCATATTTAGCCAGAAATTTTTAGATTTAGGCATGGAATCACCTTTGGACACTTAATGCTCTCCTTTAAGTTTGACACTTATATGTAACAAAGTTGTTAGTTCTCTTCGTTTGTGTGTTAAATTGTGCAATTTTTTTTAAATGTGATCAAATACCACCATTGAAATAAAATGTATTTGAAGTCTTCTTACTGCGGTTATTATTTCAAGGGCTCGGCCCATTAAACCTTTTAATGGAATCATTAACACTTCAAACTGCAAGAAATTAATAGCTAGATGCATTTTTAGGTTTTGATTCGCGCTTCCCAACGATAGTACTCACATACTGAGTCAACCGAGTGCATGCGTTGAAAGTTGATGCTATCTGTTTTTATTGTCCTTTAAAAGTTGGCTTCCTATTGCATCAAGACTGGGAGAAAGTGAGTCGACAATTTCGGTTCAGGACGATGGGGCGCCTAATTTCGTTGTTAAAAGTTTAGTTGTTTATTTATCGAGATGCACCGTTGACTTTCTCAATAAATTTGTTATGAACTCAGACTTTATGCAAGTGAAATTTCAGACGTAGCCTGTGTATATAATCTGTTTGGGGAAACCTTATAAAATACATTTAGTAAACATTTACCTTTTAGGCTTTAACAAGTGACTTTGACCATGGTAATCGTGAATTTGTCCTACAAGTGGCGCACTTTTCCCAGTCAGGCGCCAACTAAAGCATTGGGTCCCGTCGTGATCGCACAACTCGACCGGACCTTATAGGTGGGTTTCAATTTGGAGATTGAGGACAAAACTGATTTAGGATAACTTGACGGTGAATGTAATATGCAAAAATAGGGCGTGACATTACCTGTTGGAACAGGGAAAGGAGATGTCCTAATGCTTATGGCATTACTAAATTGACTGATTCTTTGCTCGTTTATGACGAGTCGAGACCACTTACTCAACAGAAAAGATTATAACAAATCAGAAGTTTGGCATTTCCAAAATGCTTCGCACACTTGGGCGTTCAGAAGGTGCAAAATCTTAGCATTTTTTAAAAGTGAAGTTAATCACTTGCTTTCAGCAATTGAGCATGTACGTGAAGGAAGCTGAAAGTTGCTTATGCCGACAATTACTCTGCTTGTTTGTATTTACTGACTCATTCAATGCTAATGAAAAAAGTGCGTTTTGGCCACCTAAGCACCGCATTATAAAAATAATGCGTACAGATGCTGAAATTAATTGAGGGACAAAGTCAAGATTTGCCTCATTAGGTTAGTACAAAAGCTTGTACAGAAATGCAACACAAAACATTTGACTTATAAGAGAAACGCTTAGTTTGTAAGTCAAAAGATGGAAACATCTTTTTCATCATCTGGAAACTTTCAACTTTTGTATATTGCCCGTTTGCACGCGCGAAACACCCGTGAGCGAAATAGCATAATTCTAAGCACTTTTATTTACATTAGTCCTGCACACTTTTTCGAGTTAAAAACTCATAATATGGCGAAGCATGATTCATTCAGAAACGTATTTGTTGAGCTAGAATATAGAGGTCTACCCAACACTCTGAGCGCTCTTTACTGAAGACAAGGGATAGGACATACACCGCTTTCCATTAAGAAAAATTGTGGGCTCTCAATGATTTGTTTAATCTCTATCGTTGGTCATCGAGTCACTGTTCCTAAGGTTGACTCAAAGGCTAAAAGCTGGCCAAACTGATCAACAATCCCCCTTGTGAAACGGATCTTTTTAGCTTAAATGGGATGCATTGGAGATTGTCTATGATATTCTTATTTTGAAGGATAAATGTGGGAATTATGCTCATTATGCTTTAAGTTCACCTCAACAGACATTTTTCATTTCATTTTAATAAAAACCTTAAGTACAAAATCATCTTAAAGTTATCATTGTCTATTACTTTATTCGCAAACTTTGTGCACAAGGATGCTCTGAAGGGCGAACCATTGACCGTTCCATCATGCATAGTGCTGAGTGATACACAATGCCTGAGCTATTTCGAAAATGCATTCTTCAAGACAATTTTTTCCTAATTAATGCACAGCCATCGCCACTTGATCTGGTGAAAGTTAAGAGCAGGAATCGGCCTCGCCATTATTAATCGCAACTTGAATTTAAAGCGTCTAGGAGGAGAAGAGTTAAGTATTGTTACTCAGAGGTAATTAAGATTTTTATCATAAAATTAATCGACCTCATCAAGAAGAAAGCAATGAGCGGATTTATCATTTGCTTCGTAAAAGTTAAGAATCAAACAATTAGGGAATCATTTGTTAGCTGCGAGAGATTAAATCTTCAGGTTTAGTAGTTGGTTTACTGCTACCTTATGGGCTTTGCAGCCACGAATATTTCCTATCGTCACAACACTCAGCTCAAGTTCAGTGCTCTGCGTTTCGAGCTTACTTTCAGTGAGACTTAAAAAGTCGAATTAAACAATAACGTCTAGCAGTTTACAACCTCTGGGACGTCAATAAGCGGATTTAAGTTGATTCACTCGTATGGTTGTGCTCGCTACAAACTTTTAAACGAAACCTCGTATTTTTGATCTTATTTAATGCATTTCTCCATCATTGAAAGGCCGTTTACAGTTTGCTAACAACTGTAGCGTATTTACCTAAAGACCCCAAAGATACTACAAAGATCGATTTCAAATTTTAAGCTATCTAGTTGCACAGCCTTGCTTTTCTGGGCTAAGGTACACTGGGCAAATGATGGCCTCTATATAGAGGATCGGCCTTGACAACTAAAATTATCTTTTCGGATTGTCAGTAATGTTAAAATTGAGATGCCCTTTTACGAACCACCAATGATGGCCCTTCTCTTAATGCTCAGAAAACCCAAAACTAGTTCCTCAAGTTCTGACCAATGATTTCGTTATTATTGAGCAATTGGACAGCTTTTTCCTGTTACTAAAAAAGAAAATTTATTCATTAAGCAATTTTCAATGGTTAAGTGCAAATCCATTTTATAGAATTTAATTGTTTGTAATAGTTTGCTAAAACGCTGGCTTAAAATATCACTAACAAATACTGTTCGGGTTTTGACAGCATTACTCCAAACACTCAAAGCTAAGTAATATTTCGCAGAAGTCATTTTTATCCGATGGTGTTTTGGTACTAGTTTGAGATTCGATAAATCTCAGCAGCAAATCTTTGTGAACCAAATAAAATTAGTTTATATTTGCAGAATTTATTAAAATATAAATTTGATAAATCCTATACCTTTAGATCGAATTTTTAAACACAAAAGGCTGGGTTTTTTGCGGTTTACCTATTGGCACTGATCTCCAGTTGCAAACCCTTAAAAAATCAGCTTAAACTGCGAAGACAGATAAATGAGACTAAATTTTATCAGTTCCTTAGGAGTAACTCCAAAATGTTAACTTTTCGTCCGAGTGCCATCGGCAGTTCGTGCACGTACGCGTTATTCCTGTTCCACTTGATGGGCACGACACGATTGGTTATCGTGCAGCGGGCAAATTGCATTTTCCCTCTCCCCGACTAGTCCAATCTGGTAGCTGTCTTTTGAGCCACGTAAGGGCGCGCGCAAACACTCGCATGCATAGGCACACGTGAGTCAACGCAAGGCCAAAGCGGAGGCATTGGGGTGGCATTACCCTCGTCATCACCAGTATCGCTATCAGCAGTAGCAACAGCAAGATCATCATTTGGAAGCTCCATCCTCTGAGGCTCGCATGGGCATCAATTCAACTTGTGCCAACAATGAGACCAGTTTGCCACCGGATGTAAGGATGGCTTCCAGCGTGGTCGACGCAAACCCGAAGCTGGCTAGCTGTCTTTCCAGCAACACAAACTGTGCCTCTCCATCTAATCACATTTCTCTCAGTAACAATGGATCTATTGGTATGGAGTTTGTGGGTGGCCCCCTTGACGACCTCAAAAATGGAACTGCAAACGTGACTGTAGTAGAGGCAGAGGGCCAAGAGGCTGATGAAACGGAAGTTGAAGAAGGCGAAGGAGATGAAGAGACGGTTTTTCCACATGAACCTGGGTAAGCCAACTTTAGCTGCATTACCTGCACGCATATTTATGCGCCACACTTGAAACCGCATTGCTCAATAAAATACACTTCAATTGGTACAAATACCTTCATAAACATTTCCGCTATGGAAAAGCAGTGAAATGTTCTCAAGAGCAGATGTTCTTCATATCACTTAGGTAAAGCATTTCGAAAAATCGCTAATGAAATTCCTAAGCAGTGGACATTAAGGTCGAGTTGCGGCAAAATATGGAATTTTTATCGGAAGCTCCGTATTGGCTCAAAAAAGTCTTTTCCCTTCCATCACGCATTAACGGAAACATTGATAAATGCAGGTATTTAATCATTTGCAGAGGTATCAGCATTTCCGCGTAAACTGCATCAAAATCCAAATAAAATAGGCATGGGTTAACACGTGCATTTTAACATTTAGTGCATTGTGGTGGCTTCAAGCTACGCTTTCCCATCTGTCAGCCAGTGGACAAAACATTTTTTTGTGATCTACACTGGCTCGAGGTTTCAACTTTTTCATTTGTTGTAGCTTCTGTATCGACCCAGATTAATGTTACGAGAAGAACATTCCACTCATATGAATCGGATTATGTTTGGCATTTGTGAATAAAATGGAGTTGATCTGCAGTTATGTGTAAGCTTCCATTGCGAGGCTGTGCTGTCGCATACAATACGCAATCTGTTTTTTTTAGTGAAGGTTCAATTGTAACGCATTTAGTTTTCTCAAAGAAGTCAAATTTATGCGAACTATGAGGGATCCTAAAATGTGCGAAATTAACGCACACGAAATTCGAACACAAGCTGTAATGACGAAAAAGTGGGCTAAACCTATTAGCACATATCCAAAGCAGGAACACCGCAGTCTTATGCCAAGGTGCCCAGTCAAAGATTATTAAGAGAAATGATGGACTTGTTATGCCGAAAAATTACTGCTTGCTGCTGCCATTAGAATTATCACACTTTCTGCGGTTCAGGAAACTACAAAATAGTTGACAATGGGTTGGAGCGCTACCTTCATTTCTGCACGCTCAGTATAAAGGCATGCTTTTGAGGACGAGCGCATCGTAACAACTGGAAAGGTTTTTTGCCTTTAATGTCCATTTGTATCGATAACGAAAAGTGTAAGTCAGGAAGTTGGCTTACTACTCTATTTTATTCACCCTAGCTTCTCTCTACTGACACGCGTTTGACGGTCCTCTCCCGCTGCACGTACAGTCGCACCTAAGAATGCGTGTTTTTGTGTCTTCAAAGCAATCTATTATTCTTATAGTGAGGCAGACGCGTCATAGTTAGGCATGAAATCATGCTTTGCAACCTTTTGGCTGTCTGCAGTCTCATACGTTAAGTATCGAAACGCTAGTTCTGTAGTCTGGTTTGTTTAACACAAAAAATACCTAAGGGAGTCACTCACTCGATTACCCTGAGGTGGAGTCGAATTTGAGGCAACTTATGTTGGACTAGTCGTGATACAGGTTTTTGCCTATTAATCGGGCTTAGCAAATCTCTTTCTCTCGGCAATAGAATAAAAGCAGTACGCAGGTAACAAGTGGGTTATATTCATTCGGCCCCTTGTAGCACGTGGCTGAATCAAATGGCGAACAAACAAGTCCACCCTGTGTCGTATGACTACTTTCATGCTGACCTTTTTGTTAATCATATAAATAAAAGTATTCTGACATCATTAATATATAAAAGGACTATTCCATGGTAGAGGCTTGTTTCGCTTCGAGCAAACACCATTTCATTACCAATGGTATCTGAAAGCCCTTGTATAAATATATGTTTCCGTGAGCACCACATGCATCCCTTATAGACCTAAACATTCGTTTGGAATGTTCCAGAGACTCACTTAAAAAAAACTAAAATTACAAATACTCATGTAAATCCAACCATACCTAAGAACCGAATCTCAGCGTTTTGTGGTATCCAATTTTGCTGGGACTTTAAGGCGATGGACTATTTTAGCGAGTTAACCAGTGTTTTCCTTACGATTAATCAAAACGCTAAAAATCGACTCAAGCGGCATAACAAAAAATGACTGCAACACCCAAGCCCTTCCCTCTCAGTACCGCTACAATCCATGCTATTTGTCAAAAGCATCTTTATCTTTACTTCATGAACAGAAACTTTGCAAATTTTTATAGGCTGTCTAGCACTCAGGCTAAGGTTCGAGCTCTGTTTCTGAGATTAATTGTGAGTCTTGTGATAAGGAAGAAGTCTAATTCCGTAAGTTAGTGACTTTGCCAACTGCATAGTGAACAGCCTAAAAGATAAAAAGCAGGCCTCCAGGTTTGAAGACGAGCATTTTCAAAAATGACACTTTCATTAATCGTATAATAGGCAAATGGTGTTGTACAAACGAGTTGGTGCTTACTGGGCTAAAAAAAAAA